AAAATAGTTAAAAACAAAAAAATTTTTCATACCAAGGAAATTAGGCAAAATTGACCATTTTTGGCGAAATACCCAGTTCCAGTATGTTCTATAGAATAAAAAAAACTGACCTGTTCTTCGCATCATCCGATGTATACATACGGAACCCTCAGTACGCGCGTATAACTTACACTTACCCAGTTTTTATACCAAATCCAGGTCTAACATTCAAACCACGCTGCTATCCGCATCTAGAAGATTCATCTGAAGTATATTTTAATTGCCTGATACATTTACGGCAATGTTGCGTTCGCGTTGTTTCTCACGTTTGCAATTAGGCGCGAGTTGCGCGGGGGCAGCTTAATAACTTCTAATAAGAGCCAGGACAGGTTCTAACGACCGGTGGAGGGTGGCGTCCTGGACGCACAGGATCGGCGGACACTGGGGAAAGAAAACGCAGTTGTGCTATTTATCTGGAGTGGATATTTCCACTTGCTCATATGATACCTAGTCAGATTTAAACTTAAGACTGTTGCTTGATATACTTTCTTGATGCTGCTTTGACGTGACTTGAGTGTTAACTGCTAGAACAGGGCATCATCAGTTGATGATGCGTTAAACACACCTCTGGTTGAACTGAATAGGTTGGCGATTAATATTTGGATCCTGAAAATTCAATCAATTTGTTAGCCCCTTGAAAAGGGTATCAATAAATAAGTTAGGTCTTATAATCGTGCTAAGAGTTGAAAATGGTGTGTTGATGAAAAATAACTAGAAATATCAATTGTGATCAAGCTGTAGAGCCGGGCTTATGAAAGTGGTAGGAATGAGAGAATTGGGAATAGTAAAGTCCACTAACTGAAAAAATCACTATTATTTTGTAAATATTCTCTGCAGTTTGAAAATAGTTACGACGCGTTTTTATGCACCACTGTAAGTCGCACCTAAGAAAACTAAGCTGCAGTACAGATATCTGTGATGTTGTTGCTATTAATAAGTGATCTGAGATTATTAATAATGCATGCGCCGGAGTAGGTATCTACACTTGATAACGCAGTCCCCCGGCACAGCGCAACACGCAAGTGCTCTTCGAATGGGTTTTATAAGCAACTAGCTTTTACCCGCGGCTTCATCTGCGTGAATTTCGATCTGCTATAGCTTGTGTCACTCAGGAATAATGTGACATTTAAATGGTGTAAGAATGTTATTCGCATCTAGAAGATTCATCTGAAGTCTATTTTAATTGCCTGATACATTTACGGCAATGTTGCGTTCGCGTTGTTTCTCACGTTTGCAATTAGGCGCGAGTTGCGCGGGGGCAGCTTAATAACTTCTAATAAGAGCCAGGACAGGTTCTAACGACCGGTGGAGGGTGGCGTCCTGGACGCACAGGATCGGCGGACACTGGGGGAAGAAAACGCAGTTGTGTTATTATCTGGAGTGGAAATTTCCACTTGCTCATACGATACCTAGTCAGAAATAAACTTAAGACTGTTGCTTGATACTTTCTTGATAGATAGAAAGATGCTGATTTAACGTGACTTGAGTGTTAACTGCTAGAACAGAGGATCATTAGTTGATGATGCCTTAAACACACCTCTGGTTGATCTGAATAGGTTGGCAATGAATATTTGGTTGGTCTCTGAAAATCTTATCAATTTGTTTGTCCTTGAAAAGGCTATCAATAATAATGTAATTCTTTATTCGTGCTAAGAGGTAGGTATTTTAGTCGTACTAAGAGCTGAAAATGATGTGTTGATGAAAAATAACTCGAAATATCAATTGTGATCAAGCTGTAGAGCCGAGCTTGTGACTGGTATGGGAATTGGGAATCGTAGAGTAGGTCTAACTGAAAAAATACTTTTGTTTCGTAAATATTCTCTACAGAAAAATAATTGCGAAGCGTTATAACGCGCCACTGTAAGTCACACCTAAGAAAACTAAGCTGCAGTACAGATATCTGTGATGTTGTTGCTATTAATAAGTGATCTAAGATTATTAATAATGCATGCGCCGGAGTAGGTATCTACACTTGATAACGCAGTCCCCCAGCACAGCACAACACGCAACTGCTCTTCGAATGGGTTTTATAAGCAACTATAGCTTTTACCCGCGGCTTTACCTGCTTGAATTTCGATCTGCTATAGCTTTTGTCACTTGGGGATAATGTGACGTTTCAATGGTGTAAGAATTTTTGAGATTTTTATTCGTTACAAACATACAAATCTTTTCTCTTTATACATACAGGAAGAATTTAAGACTTCATGAGAGTAAAAATCGTTTTACTAAATCTTCTCATTAATGTCTTCTAAATTCACATTCATTCATCAAAACTGCAGAGTGCAGATTGTCGTTCTCGTGCGAACGAAGTAAAACAAATAGGTAACTACTTATTAGTTGAAGTTTTATTGAAATTATTCATTTTTTTGTGCAATATTATAAATTTTGTGTGTGTAAAATCCTTCACCATTTTAAAAAATGTAATCTGTAAAGTCGTTCTCAATTTAAATCGTTACCAAAGGACGCATGGTTTCATTTCTATCTTGGACGAATTCGTCCAAGATTTCTATGTACATAGTAGGGATTTATTTAAATGGTTATTGGTGGCATTCACTAAACTCAATGCTTTTATGGATAATTTTAATAGTGGTCCAATATAAGCCATTTATAGGTCTTATAATTCTAAATTGACGGTGGTTCGATTACCTGACTATGACTATAACATAATATGCGGTGGCAGTTCGAATTCTAGCAGGGGTAGATTATAGCTACTTTATAAACCATTTCTATCATTATTATCATTTCAGCTATAGGACGTCCACTGCTGAACATAGGCCTCCCCCAATGATTTCGACAATGGCCGGTTGGTGGCGGTTAACCATTTCTTTACTACTATTAAAAGACTTATAATCTTAATACTATTAATTATTCTGCCAAGACAACATTTGTTAGCCCAGCCTATGGCCCTATGCAGTCCCTTAATTTGCACCAGCTCACTTAATAATTGGTATGTTCACTCGACGGCAAGTCAAGCGTGACAGTTGCTGTGCGAAACTCGCTTTTACTTCACCTAAAATATAAGCTTTTTTCAATAGTTACGCTATGCTGTTATGTGCACAAGGAGGACTTTGATTGTAGTTAATTACACCCTCACGGAATTCGGTCTTTCATTGAGTATCCAGCGATTCTAGAATAAAGTTATTCTAGACTTTTAATCGTCGCCTTCAAACAAACACTGATATTAATCAATCGATACGGACCAAGAGCTCCGCCGATTAAATATCTAATGGAATTAATTAAATGAACATCATTGTCATAGGTTAAATTAAAATCCTTTTTAATCTTTAAAGTAGAGACTGTCATGAACCTGCAATGGAGACTAACGCCCGTATTCACAAACGATGCTTGCTTAACTGAAGCAGTAAATCAAACGCACAGCGTTCAATAGAGCTCTGTGATTGGTTCGTGTGACACCCTGTGCGTCCATGCGCACTGTGAGACCTCATAGTAATGTTGATGAATTGTAACATTCCCTAGTAGAAGGGTAGTAACAAAAGGAAATTAAACAATAAAAAACTAAACATGTACAAACAAAAGGTTTATTAAATCTAATTCACGAAGGTTCAGGTAGTGGGTTAATAATTGGCAACCGAGCGACACAAAGTCCCTGAAATAATCAAGGCCACGGTACTGATCTTGCGATTTCCGGTAGGCGTAAAACTGTTCTCGGTGGCAGCCCAGCTCCACCAGGCTTGATTGTCCAAGGCAGCAATTTTGCCCCAAACTTCCACGAAGAGAAGTGTTTGAAACCCGGAACGGGGACCCTGGAATTCCGATACGGACAATTTTAGCAAAGTCCGATTCGTACTTATGACTGCGACATCAGACCGGAAGCGGCGAGAAGCGGATCAGATGAAATGATTATTGCAAAAAATAGTTAATACTGATGAGGCAGTCACAAGAATCATTCTTAATCTAGATTTAAGCACTAAAAACACGATTAATGAAGATTAACTCCAAAGCATCGGTAAATAATTATCCATTATTTATAAAATGACTCAATTTCCTTTTCAGATAGCGAGCCAAACATGCTGAAAAGAAAAGCCAAATAAACAAACCATAGAACAATTTTACGGCATACAAACGCATGGTGTAGACATTTGGCTACATACTGTTAATTTTCAAAAATATACTTTTTTTTCGTACTAAGATTTTTTTTATTATTTTTCCCCTTATCTGTGACTAAAAATCTAATTGAAATATTTTTTTCATAACTAAATAAAAAATCATGCATTTAAGGGTTAATTTGTTTTGACGTAGTATTAACCACGCTCACGTACTAATAATTAAAAGATAAACACTTAAGCGCTACACATGCAAGCACTAAATACCTACATTTTTTTTTTAAATAACAGTAGATAGGTACTTACTACTAAGCACTAGCTAAGCACTAAAATTAATCCCATCAAAAACAATACTTGTCAAAAAAACCAAGTCTCGCAACTCAGTTGTTNTATGTTACATTAAGGAAATTAAACAATAATAAATTATAAATAATAATAAATAATAAATTAAACAGTTTTAGTACAAAAGCCGTACGTCCTTGCGTTATGATAACTTCGCTCGGACTCCGCCGCGATGTTTCGACGGTTTATTCTAAACCGGGGCGAACCTGTTTCCACTTCGTTCACTCATCGTTCGCGCTCACAGATATTTAAAACGTCATTTGCGCCCGAGTTCACGTATAAGTTTTTGTTTATATTTATTTTATTTTTGTCATTAAGGTTTTAGTAAGTAAGTATATTTTTAATTAGTTTTTAGTTATAATTAAAATTTTATTTTTTTGTTAACTTTTACTTTATTTTGTTACTCTTCGTGTAACGAACCGTTACACTCGTAAAGTCTATGGCCGTTGGGGCAGAAAAGTTCTCGAGACTACGGGCCGGAAGACGTGCGTGGGCAGGCCTCCCACTAGGTGAACCGACGATTTGACGAAGGTCACGGGAAGAACTTGGATGCGGGCAACGCAGGACCGGTCGTTATAGAAATCCTTGGGGGAGGCCTTTGTCCAGCAGTGAACGTCATTTGACTGAAACGAACCAGCGAAATTAGAGAGGGTATCATGCTCCTGCAGTAGAGACTGAATGACTTAATGATGATGAAGTATGTGGATTAATTATCTACTTAGTATTTTGATGTATTTTCCAGGTTGTTACTTCACAAAATACTGCAAAGAACTGGCGGAGCAGATCGGCATAACCGGCTGGGTGAAGAACTCCAAGAAAGGCACCATCGTCGGCAAGATACAAGGGAACAAATCTGTTTTAGATCACATGTTAGTATTATTTAAATATAACTTCTTCTGTCGTTGTCAGGAAAAAGTCAAAGTCTTGCTTATTGTCGCCAATTAACAAACAAACTATTGGCATGCACTTGGTTGGAAAACACTTGGCTTGTCTACTTATTTTGTGTCATATGCTAACATTATGAAAATGGTTGGTGGTTTCTTCTTTTCAGCAGCTGAAACTGAAATCCCCGATCCATCTGTTTATTTTACTTAGGTACCACTACGAGTGACCAAGATACATTTAGGAAAATACTAGAAATGTTCACTATAACTTTATTTGGCAAGATCGTTATTTCTTCATTAGCAAGAGAAAATGTCTCTAACCAAAATTTGGATCGCTCCCAAGTATTCGATATTCCATGTACCCACTTTTAATTAGCAGCTGATAATAAGCTGGCATGTCTGTCACGACGTAAATGATGGAGAGACGAGCCAAAAATGTCTACTTCCTATTATAGTTTATTATTCTCCTATTAATCACAGTAGTTAATTCTCTAAATACCTACTAACATTGCAAACACAACAATATTTTATGTATAAGATGATCGTGAAACCAAACTACATAGCTACGAGTATTACAAAGAGCATTGTGTTCCAGTGCGCTTCACTGAATAATACAAAATGTAGGTACCTATATTTCTTCATGATCTGTGGACTGTAACAACTGATGACTTGGTTATTTCTTTTAAACCGTCAGATTGAGTCCAGTCTGCAAACTAGGAGTTCTTTGGCGATAGAGTCTTGATCACGTTTCGTGTACCGTTCAATCATTCCGTTCAGTTGGTGGAATTGGAGGACCTTGTTCTAAAGAACCTCATTCTTTTATTCCAGGATCGACTGGCTGAAGACGACCGGCTCTCCTGGCTGCAAGATTGAGAAGTGTGAGCTGACCAACTGGGAGTACCTAGCCCGGTTAGACTACACCGACTTCGGCATACGGTTTTGAGACTCTACTTGCTTTTAAGGTCCTTATTGCAAAACAGCGTTCAAAACTCGACACGTCCGTATTCACAAACGATGCTTGCTTAAGTGAAGCAGCAAATCAAACGCACGCGTTGGCTATTCAACGGTGCACAGGGTATAGAGCTCTGTGATTGGTTCGTGTGTCACTCTGTGCGTCCACGCGCACTGTGAGACCTTATAGTAATGTTTGTGAATACGGGCGTCAATCTTCAGTCTTTTAAGTTTTGTTAAACTCAGAAGCCTTAAATGGCAATGCCAGATTTTGTATGGAAAGTGGCGTCTTTTTTTTTTCGCGCGGCCATCGACCAAACTTTGCTTTTGATTACAAAATAGTGTAATAAACCAAACTTACTATGGCATGTATACCTCTAAACTCAGTCTGAACTGAGTTACGAGCATTAGAAGTTTGATTATTTTCATACTAGATTTGCTTTTTAGCGCAAGTTTTGTAAGAAATTGCTACAAAATATTGCGCTATTTTTTTATTGCGCTGATTCTGCCCCATACTGATGTCTGGAGCCTTTAATGGATGATATTGTTTGTTTATACATACAATCTCACTATTTTGTTGCAATTTCTTACAAAACTTTGCGCGCAAAAAGCAAATCTAGTATGAAAATCATCAAACTTCTAATGCTCGTAACTCAGTTCAGACTGAGTTTAGAGATATACATGCCATAGTAAGTTTGGTTTATTACACTATTTTGTAATCAAAAAACAAAGTTTGGTCGATGGCCGCGCGAAAAAAAAAAGACGCCAATTTCCGGCATTGTCTTTTATGGTTGATATAGAGTCGAGTTTTGAACGTTGTTAATAAGGATCTAAAAATGCTAATTACTTATTACTTTCATATTTTTATTTTTACTAAAATAACTTATTTATTTTGTAATGCAATAAAGTTAACAGTTCCAAGCATTGTTATGTTATTTCTAAACCAACAATGCCTGTCTACAAGAATCGGATTTTAGACAAAGATTGTTTAGCCATTATTAACATGGTGTTAAGTTAACACCGTTAACAAGTATTGTAAAGTGATGAATCAGAAAGAAACATATTAGCACGTGCTCATAATAGACAAAAATGAAAACAGTTGAAAATTAGATATTCTTTTTGGAAAAACCAGAGAAAAAATGTGCAATTTTGAATTCGAATTTTAAAAAAAGTATGTAAACTATAATTTTTTGTAACTATAATTTTATATTTAGACCTATCTACTACTTCATTTCCTGGATAGTAAATAGGTACCATTATCAAAGTGACCCAAGTTTTTGTTAGTCTTTTACATAGGTTCAAAGGACATTTATTTCTCATTAAAAATATTACAGTCACTTATATGAGAAATTAACAAATTTTATGTAGGTAGGCCTAATTTACAAGTTGTCCAATAGCCAGAACAAGCAGGTGTACTTCGTAAGATACTCTATTTAAATTGCTTTATTGTTTTATTACAACTGTATGTTGTAGGTACTTACTTTATTTTGAAATCTGACCTACTTATTACATTATTTAATCCAGTTTAAGGATGAATGGTAATCTCCAAGTTTAATGATGATTACTACTAGCGTGACGTAAAAGTTTGTTTTGTTTTCCTTCATCCAGAGACAAAACATTGAAGTAATCAAACCAATGTTTACAGTGCAATCTACGCTGTAGGTATGCTATAACAAAACAGTTGTCTTGTATGTCCGTATGCACTTGCGTTTCTCTCAAAAACCGTACTTTCAATGTGGGAGTGTCGTAGTCGTTTCAGCCGAATGACGTCCACTGCTGGACAAAAGCCTCACCCCAAGGATTTCCACAAAGACCGGTCCTGCGCCGCCCGCATCCAGGCACCCCACGCGACCTACGACGATTGTGGGAGTACCTACATTAAATGTATACAAGGTAACTATGTATATAGGCAAATAGACTGATCATATTTGATCGAAATTAAAAAGATATTAGAGTTATCATAAAGAGGGAAAGATAATAAACTTTTTTTTTTAAGTAACTATCTCGAGCAGAACCGTAGAATAGTTATTTGTATAGAGAAAAACCCAATGTTTATAAAAGCTTAGATTTTTCCTACCAAGAGTATTAAACTTTACATTTGTATTTACTCTGATTGTAGTGAGAAAGTAATTATGTGATTATGCAGGTATTATTGCAGATTTGGAGATAATTAAGACCAAATATTTGATGAGACAAACAGTTAAAAATTGCCACCTAACTTAAATTTTTATTTTCCAACGTCCAAGTTTAAATACTGAACTGAGCAAAATCAGTAAGAGTCACGAAAAAGTAGTCTAAATAACTAGTGGACATGTGAAATGCCCTTCTGAAAATGTGAAAATAAATGATAAAACCCCAATGTGTTTCCTTGACTGGGGTTTATCAATCAATCTGTAGAATCATGGCTACCCAGTAGTTTCAGTGGTGGGAAAGAAAGGTGGGAATTACTCTATTCTGCATCAATTAAGTAAAACCGTGGTTTCTATACTAGCTGTGCAATTCAGTTTTCCAATAATATGAGCGTAATTCACGATGGTCTTATCTTCGGCGGCTCAATGAATTCACCACGTTATTGTTTTCACACAAAACACACCAATTTCACATCTATTGTATCAACAGTAAGAGTTAATGATACTGTGTTATAGTAGGGNATATATCTCACTGCATCCAAAAAGTCACTATAAGGTGCCAAAAAAGTCAAGTTGGAATCGCGGAACGTGATGCCTAAATTTTGATTAAAAAAGGATTTTCAAGCTTAATAATTAAAGTAATTTATCTAATTCTTATATATATTTTCATGTTATATTACCTAAGTAAATGTCTAAACTATAAAATATCTGTCATTTAATGCCTTCTTACCAATAAATAGAGCGCAATATTTCACCTTATACGACTTTTAACTTTAAATAAAATTTTGAAGTCACTGCGGAGGCAGTAGATATTCATTAAATGAGATAAAAAATGACACTTATTTTTACTTTCATATAAGGCACAAATCCCCCCCTATTAGAACTTTGAAACTAAAAAAAAATTTTTTCCCATACAACCGTGCTCCACCCTAATGTGAAATGCCCTTCTGAAAATGTGAAAATAAATGATAAAACCCCAATGTGTTTCCTTGACTGGGGGTTTATCAATCAATCTGTAGAATCATGGCTACCCAGTAGTTTCAGTGGTGGGAAAGAAAGGTGGGAATTACTCTATTCTGCATCAATTAAGTAAAACCGTGGTTTCTATACTAGCTGTGCAATTCAGTTTTCCAATAATATGAGCGTAATTCACGATGGTCTTATCTTCGGCGGCTCAATGAATTCACCACGTTATTGTTTTCACACAAAACACACCAATTTCACATCTATTATATCAACAGTAAGAGTTAATGATACTGTGTTAATAACGTTGTAAAGGCGATAGGACAAGGACCTCTGGTTTCTTCCAAGACACTATAAATAACATCTATTTCTGTACTCGGAGGTGATTTTTATTGTTTACGTTAATTGTGTATTATCAACACAATTATGCTGGTTTTATTGAATAACGATTAACGACGTTTCATTGAAATATAAGCACATGCTTTCATTCTTTATTCAACACTAGCTTTCGCCCGCGGCTTCAACAGAGTTGAACTTTGGTTCCCCGTTTCATCCCCTTAGGGTGTCAATTAGTGAAAATCCTTTTACAATGGATACCTACGTCATCACAACTAAATTTCACACAATCTGTTCACTTGTTCAGTGGTTTGAACTCTGTGTTGATAAATCAGTCAGCCGGCAAAGGTTGCCTTTTATATGTATGTAGGTATTTATATTGCTGACAATTGATATCTCTTTGTGAAGTCCTGTCTAGACATTGCAATAGGAATGTTCGGAGTATGCACTAAGCATGTACTTAAACTGATGTTATCATGTGTCTGACTTTGTGTTTCAACTTTGTATTTGTAACAGTATTGAAAGTAACTCAACATTTAGACATAATCTTTCGATATACCTAATTTAAAGTTAAAATCATGATACTCACTCGTCTAAGCTGTTGTAACGAATCTGTGAGTAACGAATCAACTACTATTTATATCTTATAATATCTACCTTTTCTAAATATTTGACATTAAATTAGTCGAAGCTTATCACGCTTCTGTAATGTAGAGTTTTAAATAAATAATTCATGATTTGACGTCAAAGAAAATCTTAAAATTCTGATGTCACAAGGACACGGAATTGCATCAGACAATATTATATTTACACAATGAAAGGGTAATTACAATCGTAATGAATGAAACAGTCAATAAATACTAATAAAACTGTTTATTGTACTTAATTTTGTCACAACGACGATAATAACTTAAAATTATATATTTACATAGCGCAAGCTATTCTTACAATATCTTGTATTACTAAAGAATGACTTAGAATAACGAGTGGTTCGTATTAAACCGCTCGTCCTAAATTATACTGTAATTAATTATATTACAAATTAAGAATAAAATATTACAAGAATTGACCCGGCACTTTCATACATTCCACAAATAGGTACAAAATGTTTCATACAGACTTTAGAATTATTCACTATGTAGAATAGGGTCTCTTGATATAAAATTGCGTTTAAGCTCTAAGCATAGTATTTGTACATATTTCAATCAGACCAATTTTAAAGACTTGAATCTGTTCTTGAAGTTATAGACTATTCTGTATTTGCATGAGGTTGGAAACCATGATAGCAACACGTCTAATCGTTAAGCTACACCGTGCTAACAAGCAGTAGTACAAAACTTTGTTTATATTCACCTAGTACTACCAGCGGAAAAACTGTGCAGGGCACTGGACATTGTGAACATAATGCACAAGCCACGCCACGCATCGCCGCTTCAGGCAATAACTTTGGCTTTTCTGCGATTTTCATATAAAAACTAATTATTTTATGTGGCAAGAGCATAGATATGATTTAAGTTTAACAACTATAAGATACGCCAATTTTGTTACACAACAAAATTAGCGTGTCATGAATGTAAGGCGCGCCAATTTACATGTTAACATTATTGTAACTAAAATGTATTTGTAACTTTAACAGCACATATTAATAGAGTTCAAGTTTAATCCTAATGGAAGAATTGGAGGTAGTCTTAGTAAACACGAAATCAATGAAGAACAATTTGGTACTTTACAAATGCAATCACTGGGGCATCTCGGTACAACTAAGCAACAAGTTAACACAACAACAAAGTCTTTGGCCGCACCAATCCCGATGACTCCTGGCATTTTGCCGAACCCTTGGCCGAATATTTGGCCATAGGGACGCTTGTATAACGAGCGTCACTTTCGGCTTTTGTTGGAACATGGAGTTCAGGCTCCGAACCTTTCGGGGCTTAGGGTATACCTTGGCCATTGATGGAATTGGCTACACCTTTTCCTCTGGATTTTGTAACGGCATACTTGAGTCGATTTCTGGTTTTCTCGTTGCCGCTGTCGCGAGCGCCCTCTTGTGTCGTTTCTTCGTCCTCTCCTTGTGGAAGAACAGTCGCAGGTAGTGGCAGGGGAAGACCACGCATTCTCCTGCCGGCTCCTCGGCGTCGATGTACACTCCTCGCACCAGCACCGAGTTGGAGCAGTTCAGGAGCATCAGCAGAACCAGGCTGGCGATATGCGAGCACCAGTTGCTGAGTTTTGGTGTTTCTGGTGGAGAGGAATTTCCGTTTAGTATTGTTAACATTTGCTTAGCTTAAAGTGGGTATTTTAAATCTCATTCTAGTCTCAAGTTGGGGAGCAATTGACACAAATCAGCCTTGATAATGCAGACGGTAGTTTCCTCTATCTTTAGTGTAAGTAAACGTCTAGTAGGTAAGCACTTCGAAGAGCTTATCAAGTGGATTGTCAATAAATCCGATGTTTTGTTAATTACTATCATCAATTGGGGGATAATTGGGACATTCGTTGACATGGAATTTGTAAATCAAACTGTCTTAATGTAAGAAACGGATAAAATACTTTTTATTGAGGTAGAATTCGTTTCAGCCAAATTACTGCTGGATAAAGGCCTCCCCCAAGGATTCCACAACTCCTGCGCTGCCCGTAACCATTTGTTTTCGCCACCTTCGCCAAATCGTCGGTCCACCTACGAGGCCTACCTTACCCTTAGTTTACCTTCTAGATCCAACTCAACAGTTCCACTCACCAGGGAAGAAGTAAATATCCAGCATGCCCCAGAAGCCGCGCCAGACGTTGACGGTGGCGATGAAGGACACCAGGTGGTAGACATCTGCAAGCAGAAGACGAGGCGCGCCGTGCAGCCGCGCGGTCACCCAGCGGATCGGTGCTTGGAGAGAGAATGTCGCGATCACCACGGAGTAGCCCACGATCTGGTGAAGAATTCAACAGGTTAATTAAACAATGTGTCTAGGGTCACGGCACTATTCCCACCTCTCGTTCCCACCACTGCAACTTCTGTGTAGCCAGGATCTACAGCTTGACCGCCAATGAAAACCTTCACTAGGTCAAGTTTGTCCCCGGGGAAACTTAAACTGTCATTAGACCCGCAAGATTCGGCTTCCCTTCATTGCAAAGCGGATGACAGGTGACAAACAAAGGTTTAGTAACCTTGTGTAACACTACGACCCTCGTGAATCTTTCTGTCAAACTAAACGTTTAAAAAAGCTAGGCTTGTGATGTAGAGTTCTAAAGTATCTGCGTGTTACACTTATTATTATTCTGTGGTGTTACTTACTACTTACTACTACTACTACTTAGTAGAGCTTAAAGAATGTAGAAGTAGAGTCCTAGAGTGATAACCTGTTCATTTTGAGTAATTAACAAGGTAAGTACTTAAAACTAAATTCACACAATAAGAAAGTGTAAATAATGTTTAGCTTCCGAAAAGATTCCCAAATCCGCATCTTAAGCCATTGCTTAGTAATTATCAAACATAGTGTTAACAATTCTAAAAATAACGTATAAATTGTTGCAAAACAATGCATTATAAATAGCACACGAACAAAATACGTAGAAGAAGGTTTAGTAAAGTTTACAAACAAATCTGTAGACAATAACGTAGTCGGCGCCAGAGCATCATGGGCAAACACAGATGCTTCCTTATCATAATCCCAGGTGTATTTAATAAGGTTAATAAACAAATTAAAGGCTTTACGAAATAAATTAAACAACACAGTCTTTGTTTGCAGTGATGGATTCGACTAGAATGGAAACAGCCAGTAAATGAGGCTTGATAAGAAATTCTTGGTAACAGGAAACTCGATGCCGTGAATGTAACAATACTAACTAGTAAAATGTTTGTTTGTTTGTAACTATGTATCGGAGAAATCACAACTGTTTCGATTATCAAAGTAACATCAACATAATCGATACTAATCTTGAGTCACAGAATAGTCACACTTAGCCAAGAATCTAGGTAAATAAGGAAGTCAAGGAAGACTGACTCATGTTGAGACGATCGAAATATAATATAGTGATACTGAAGAAATGAAATTTAAAAGTGATGATAGAGCTATATAAATACATATACATACATACGAGTAATAATGCATCAAAGTAGACAGAAAATGTAATCGAATTGATTTCGTTTTATTTGTGTTTTAGTTTGATACTTTGTAGCAAACGTTTTTATTGTAATCTAGTTACAGTCCATACATGATTATCGTCAACTTACTGTTAGGCACATGCCTTGTCCTTAAACTAACACCCGTATTCACAAACATTACTATGAGGTCTCACAGTGCGCGTGGACGCACAGGGTGACATATGAACCAATCACACAGCTCTATTCAACGCTGTGCGTTCGATTTGCTGTTTCACTTAAGCAAGCATCGTTTGTGAATACGGGCGTAAGTCACTAAGTACTCCATCATGCAAGACCAATTTTATCCTGCTCCATAATTTGCACAGGAGTGCGACCGCTTATGAGCTTTCCTTTTTTAATACAGAGCTAGATTAGAATGTCCAACAGTGATTATTTTTTTCTATACCTACCTCAATAGCACAATAATCACAATTTCTAAAAACCCAACACGTGTTCCTACATAATTAAAATAGGTAATTGAACTCGGCTGTTTATCATTACTGTTAACGAGCAATTGTATAACAGATCACACAAATATTTGTTTATTAGGTAATAAGGAACTTCTGATAACATACAAACAAGTTAATAGAAGTCTGTAGAATTATTTACATCTGGAAATATATTTATGGAAATCCAAGTCGACATGAAAATTGGAAAAAATAAATTTATGTCGATTTCACGCTAGTTTCGTTTACAAATCTATCTGACATAAAACAAACTCGTGTTAGCTACAGCATTTATTACTTTTGATGAAAGGTAAGGAGGTAGCTGACACCCTGGACTAACATTATACATTTTATTTCGACTACCCAAAAAAGGGGGTAATGTTTTTAGTTGCGAGTAGTCCGCAACGTAGTACCATCTCAATGAAAACAATCATTGTTTGTTAGGTAGTACGAAATTCGCTGCGTCAGCTAGATATAATACTGTTTTTCATAACGCGGAGTAGTCAATGATATCTTAAATATGAAATCTAAATCTATTTTCTGAAAACAAATAGGATAACGAGTAGAATAGTTTATTTTGAAAAGTCATGTCATAAAACATAACAACAATAGTGTATTGTAATTAACACTAACCCTAGTTCCGGTTCCGGTTCTGAAATACCCAAGGACAACCAAGAATTTCCTATGTAGATACTATGGATTACCGGTTATCATGGATCTCATGTTTGAAATATTATAAATGCAAACTTTTGTGACTACTTATTTTGAACAAAAACGAAGGAAAGTAAGAAAAAAATCTCAGCAACTTTCCCTATTCAGACGACGCGCGGAGAAATATTGTTATTTGTCAGAAAATGGGTAAAACCTAGTTGCTACGGTTCGGGTCAAACATAGAACACATTACCTAAGTAATTAATGTAGGTATAATGTTCTATGTATTATTAATCCTGAAAGAAAGAAGAAGAAAANCAAGAAAAACAGTCCTGATAATAATGAGGTTCGTGAGGAAAAGGGTTAATTTGCAAATTCTACGACTACCTCACGTTTTACTAACTAGATAGATCTAGTATTAGTCTTTACATAATTATGAGAATTATATTCAGATAGTGATGACGATATTACCTTTGTTATTAAACATACAAATCTACTAGACAAATGGAAATAGCTGAGCAGTTATCATTCATGACAATATAAATAATTGATTCAAACAATTTTTTGGTCTATTTTTTTTTTTGTTATTTGAACTAGTATTCTGCCCCTTGCTATGTGCCCTTGGCATAATTATCTGTCCAAAGGCATTTTTGGGTTTATGGGCAGAGATGCCCATAAATCTTCTGAGTATGAGAATACTCAGAAGATTCATTTACTTAAGTATTGAGGGTTTGGTGTCGGCAGCAGGTCGCAGTACTACATTCTTATTCAATAACTCGATTGTGGTAATAAAACTAACTCAGAACAACAGTTCATTCAAATATTCATCAACAGACCTTTACAGTCCACTGCTGGACTATGAGCCTCCTCCACTATAGTAGAGGGTTTTGCCATAATCCCCACGCTTGGCAGGCGGGTTGGAGATCGCAGTTTAAAAGATTGATGTTTGTCAGAGAGCGCTGCTGCCCGTTCTCTGTTTGATGTGTAGTCACCCGCGGGAAGAGTAGGGGTTGGTGACAAATGTATTCTACTCTGCCGTCACCACACGGCCGAATTAAATATTATGTGGCAAAAATCTTGATTTAAATAAGGGAAGTCATGTCTGGTTTCATCTCTATATTTAGCCTATGATACCCATTACAAACTTCAGGAAAAAGGAAAACAAGAGCCAAGTGCGTCAGATTCTGCGTATCATTTGCATCTATATTTAGCGGCAGATTATCCAATTCGTCCCCAAGTGGTCCTCAGTTTCAGGAACCCGGTAATGAGGTAAACGCTCCTGAGACGATGTTTACCTACGTCTTGTTTAAAGGCAAGTGGCAGGGCCAAGTTCTTACTCAATAAAGGCCTAATTTTTTACCATTGCCATGAATTTGACGTGGAAGAATACTCCTAAACCAATACTTCATGGACATATTTGTCTGTAATTTAACACTTTAGCAGTCCATTGTACTCTGTGTTGTAGAAACCCCATGTTTCACTATACTACTAACTACAGTATTACCAATAGTAACCTATATTATGTGTGCTATTTTCTATTTGTAAAATCAAAATCCCGAATAAAGTTCACGAGAAAAAATGTGCGTTAGCATTTTTAAGTACCTACACGATGTAGAGCAACTTGGCCCTACTTTGCTTTGTGTTGTACGTCCCACGTAAAGCAATTTGCTTCAATGTCACTATTTGATAATGAACGCAGGAGTTGACTTTAGTGTATCCTTGGTTTGTATCATGAAGTAAGTTTTTGTACCCCAAGTTACAAAACATTTAACCAGGTTTTGCACAAATTTAGGCTCCACTGCAAAAAACATGTCCGTCTTCCACTCAACTTTCAGGACAAGTAATTTTTTATTATAATCATTGTCCTACTTACAAAATTATTTACCTACTACCTATTTCTTTATTTTTTGTATCTATCACTACGTTAAGACATAGTAAAAAATACTATTTCTTTGGACGTAACGCAACGTAATACTTACTTTACTACACTTTTACACTTGAGAGGCTTCCTGGCATTGAATCAAATACAATAGTTCAAGACTAAATAAGTATTTATTGCATTCATGAGACAATATTAAAAAATATGTTTTTAATTTCCGCCCCAGATTTTACCTTTAAAAAAATTTGGTACCTATTCCAAAGAAACGTAAGAGTATATACAACAAAAGAAAAATTTCCAGTAAACCATCGTCTCTCGTAGTTCAAGCACAGAATAATAATAAGGTTCAAGTAAGTAAGAAAACCTTGGAGGAAGCCTTTGTCCAGCAGTGGACTTCATTTGGCTGAAACGAACGAAGTAAGACCGTTTATAGGCGTACTTTACAGACATTATTAGATAGAATAAGTACAAAAGTAATACTTTTGATTTGGATAAAATATACACGAATAAGAGAGGCAATGGCCAAACCTTTTAGGATAGCGACAGCAAAAGAAGACAAAAGTATTCAATACCAGAAGTCATTACACTCTGACAAAAGTTTGGTACCAAAATACGAATCGCCAAATACCGAATTATATAAGATCTGTTACTGGATTATCTCCTCAAGGCGTATAATAATAAGGTCCACAAATAAATATAGAGATCCATAGTAAGCAAGGCGTGCTAGGGGGATAAGACAACGAAGGAAGCACCAATTGCTCCGCAAATGGTCAGTGACTCAATGGTACATATGACCCAAATGCGGAAAGATCACACATCATAATAAAAATACTAGCGTTCTTCTATCGTATGATCCTAGCAGATTAGCCCTAGCAAGAGCGTTATAATATTTTTTAACCTATCATCAAAAAAATGGAGTTTCTATATTCCACTGTATGTAATTTTTATCTGGCATTATCACAGAATAAACTAATAGTACTTACTGGTATTATAATGTGTTGATTTTAGACGATAAGCACATACATTATATTTGTCATCTACAATCGATATAGAGTGCCACGATACATCGTTAGATATAAAGTTCACTTGGGTGTCAGGCTTCTTCGACCTGTATTTAACAAGCGCGGCGTGGTGAATCTTAGATCAAATCATTTGCCTCTGATAAATTGGAGACCATAATATTATTCCTAACGTGGAGGCTGAATGACCTGATTATGCTAAGGAAACCATGCTTAAAACGTTGAATCTTGTACAACTGAAGTGCTGATAGCGACTACAGTGCCTACAGTGAACACAGTAAATAAATAAATCTTTGGACAATTTCACACAGCGCCAGCTAGCCCCAAAGTAAGCAACTTAATGCTTGTGTTATGGGTGCTAGCTTAACGGATATACTACTTATATACTTTTTTTTTAAATACATACATATTATACACAGTAACACCCAGACCCGTCACAGAAATTAAAATTCATCATTTCAATTTCTGCCCGGCCGGGAATCGAACCCGGGACCTCTCGGCATAGTAGTCCGCTCTGAACCACTACACCAAACGGCCGACCAAACAGTACCTCCAGTATCTAACTACACCAGGCAGTCTGCCAACGGAGAGAGATGGCGGGAGATCATATAGAGAAGTGTATCCACCCTCCACCCTCTGCCAAGAGCAAAACGACAAAGATTGCTAGCTGCTACATGTTTCTGGCTGTGATGCTGAAGATTGGAGAATATGGACGCGATCCAAGAAGTTGTTAATCGACTATGAATGACTTACCAAAGTATCGCAGCGGCGCGTATCTGACAACTTCAGGCAGTCTAACCAAAGGGAAAGATGGCGGGAGACCTGTACAGTATTCGCCTCTACCATTATAAAAATAATAAAAATAAAATATCTTTATTCTCATTCTATGGCTCTGATCTCTATAGCTCTATCTCAGATTATGGCTCTGACAGAGATTGCTGGCTGCTACAGGCTTCCAGCAGTGAGTGGTGCTGGTGATTTTAGAATTTAGGCGCGTTGATCTACCAAGCTCCTGCATTTCATGAGCACGTGCTGTGGCGATTCTTCTGCCTTTAGAGACTATGGATAACTCACCAGAGAGGTCCAGCAGGACTTGACCAGGTCGTCGGGGAACAGGAAGATGTCCAGCAGCGCCCAGGAGCCGCGCCACACGAACACCACCAGCGAGCCCACCACCGCCACCGAGAACACGCAGTACAGCACGTACAGCGCCGTCTCTCTGCTGCGTGGAGTCATTCATGGACGATGTGGCTCACCAAAGACGTCTATCAGGATCGTATCGCAGCCTACCACGTATCTGACTGCGCCAGGCAGTCTGCCAACAGGGAGAGATGATAGGAGATCGTGTAGAGAGATCTATCCGCCCTTACCATTGATGCCACACCGTGACCACGATCGCTCTGCCAAAAGCCAAATGACCGATAATGCTAGCTGCTACAGCCTTCTGGCTGTGATGCTGAAGAATTTATGCGCGGTGATCTACAACTCTCTAAATGAGCATGTGCTATGACGTTTCTTCTGACAGCTGCTTCCATGAATGAAGGGTAACTCACCAGAGAGGTCCAGCAGGACTTGACCGGGTCGTCGGGGAACAGGAAGATGTCCAGCAGCGCCCAAGAGCCGCGCCACACGAACACCACCAGCGAGCCCACCACCGCCACCGAGAACACGCAGTCCAGCACATACAGCGCCGTCTCTCTGCTGCTCTGTAAATAATACCATTCATTACATATGTGTAGCGATAGGTTTATTATTAACTAGCTTTGGGTTGCGGCTTTGTCCGAGTGAATTTCAGTCTATTTTAGTCCCCTTTTAGAAAAACGAGTTTAAAACTGTCTTTTATTTTTCATTTCCGTACCAATTATTAGATATAATACCTGCCTTGTCTAAAAAAAGATAATTATGTTCTATGGCAGGCATGTAGATAGATAGGTACAAATATGCATTCCTATGACCCTTGCGGGATCCGAATCCGTAACTATTAGGTTTGTAAAGGAAAGCGCGAATTTTACGTAGCAAAAACCATGATTTCTGTGATTTATACATTGTTTTAACATCACCAGTAGATGCATTATATCAATACCAATAATAATAACAGTAAAGAAAACAATAAACATGCATTATTAGCGCGACAGTTTGTAAACATCGTAGAGCAAACGTAGACGGGCGTAATCTTGCGCGCTACTACGTAACGCTACGGCGTAGCAGCACAGCGACAAGTCGCAATGATTGATTTTCGTGGTGCTGATGTAGTATTGATTGAAAAGTAAGCTGAAATAAAATCTTAAGCCTTATAAATAAAAAAATGATTTTTTTATTTATAAGGCTTGTATTGTTTTTATTTTTTTTATTTTAATTAGGTTTAGTTTAGTTAAGTAGTTATTATATTATTTATTTAATTTATGAAATACTAGCTTTTGCCCGCAGCTTCACCCGCATGAAATTTAGTGCCACAGATTCGCATAAATTATAGCCTATATGTTAATCTGGGTTACAAATTATAATACTGTAAAGTTTCAACCAAATCCGTTCAGTATTTTTTGCGTGAAAGAGTAGGTAACAAACATCCACACAAACTTTCGCCTTTATAATATTAGTAGCATTTTAAATAAAACTGTCAGCTGAAATAAAAAAATGTAAACTATCCTTTACAGTGTTTTAACTACGAAGCTATGAGAAATAAGATTTCACAGAACTTACCTAGCATTGAAAAACAATAAAACAACTATTTAAAACAAGGTATAAAGTAGTAAATGTGTGTTTTGCAATTATTGTAAGTTACATTTTTACCTTAAGCTACTTAGCATACTTATGTAAGTATGCTGAGACATTGTAATTTATTGGATCACGTAATTTTTAAATTAAATGGGTACCCATTTGCAGTTCATATTAATTAATTATTGGATAGTACTTGTAATTTAATTTATCATGCTGTGTATACTTATTTTGGCTTACGGTCCAGTATGTAATTAACACTTTTTCTTTACGATGAAGCCTAGACTGTAAACTGTTTGTATACCTATTACAAATAAACAAATAATATTGGCATAGATTGAAAACTTATTAGGCTCATTCAGGGCTCTCTCAAATTACACATTTGTCGTCAGTCTCTCTAACCATATTTAGGTACTAAGCTCGTAAAAAGTATTCGATGACGTACCTAAAACACTCGTAGTAGTTACCTACTTTCTTTAACTTAATACATTATCAGTACAAATGAAAATACCAAAACCGTTGAACCGACGACCTCTAGCGTATGTAGTTAGTCGTATTTCCATCACACTACGCCAAATCGGTTAAGTTGTACATTAAAAAAACCATAAAACTTTTCACTGTTTATACTACGTGACACGAGCGTAAAATCTAAATCAGCTGTTGAAAGTGTGATCAAACGACAAATTATTAAAACTTGATTCAAACAATGTTTAGTGTATTTTAGTACAACTCCATGACATCATAATATTTCACGTCAATTACTTGTCCATGTGCTAATTTCCACATAGTTTTTCGTTCCCGTCATGTTACTAAAGCGGTATTTTCCAGCTGAAAGCCAGTGGTTTCAATAGAACGATTACAACTAAATTATTACACTATTTTCACGTGTAAGTTAATTTACGATGTAACAACAATGAAAAATCCCGCATAGGTATGTTACTTAATTATCTTGATTTATTATGTATTCGCAAGAAGTAAAAACAAAGATTGACGCGGATGTAAGAATTCGATTAAGTAATTTAATACTTTAGTTTGTTTTTTTTTTTAATAGAAGTCTCGTGGCTTTACTGTTGATTTGAGGATTTAATTTCGGAATTAGAGGTTAATTTCCACCGATAATATTCATGTCTAAATCTAAATTAGGTAATCTACTCGTATGTAATATTTGATTTCGATGGTCACAGAAAATAATAACTTATTATTATTTATACGTTTATTTTTTTATTTGATGCTTTATAGGAATTTAGATATACTCGTAGTTCGTACCCACCCGTAATAATGTCAAAATTGCATTTTAAATAAACCTTTTGTTATTGTTACGTAATTTTTTACATTATACTTTATCGATCAATTTGATCAAGGCATGTAAGATGCCCATGAAGACGGCAAATGAAAATAATTTTATTCGTATTTATATTAGGTTGAAATAACCTATCTTCGGCTTTTGAAGCACACATAAATGACTAAATGATATGAGTTGTGAACTCCTATAAGAGTGTCCTTGGGGCTCAAACACAAACAGCTCTATTGTCGACACTTTCGCTCTCGTTTTCTTCTATTTCATGTTTAGTACAGGTCCTACTCAGTTTACTGTCTTTTTTCTTCTTCACGTAACTTAACTATAACTAAACNAAAAAAGGGGAGATTCTATATTCCACTTATGTATTTTTTATCTGGCATTATCACAGAATAAACTAATAGTATTTACTGGTATTATAATGTGTTGATTTTAGACGATAAGCACATACATTATATTTGTCATCTACAATCGATATAAAGTGTCAGGATAGATCGTTAAATATAAGTTCACTTGGGTGTCAGGCTTCTTCAACCTGTATGTCCAGGGTGGGGAATATTAAATCAAATTAACGAGGTCGTTCTAGAACTGGAACACCACCAGCGAATCCACCACAACACCGTCTCTCTGCTGCATGTATTGGTAAAATGGACAAAGAGAGACTCACCAAAGCATCGCCGCGTATCTGACAACTCCAGTCAGTCTGCCAAAAGGGAGAGATGGCGGGAGACCTGTATTCGCCCCTACCATCGACATTGATGCCTCACCGTTACCACAACCGTACTACCATTATGGGTCTAACAGCGATTGCTGGCTGCTACAGGTTTCTGGCTGTGATGCTGAAGATTGGAGAATTTAGGCGCGTTGATCTACCAAGCTCCTGCATTTCATGAGCACGTACGTGTGGCGTTTCTTCTGCCTTTAGGCACTATAGATAACTCACCAGAGAAGTCCAGCAGGACTTGACCGGGTCTTCGGGGAACAGGAAGATGTCCAGCAGCGCCCAGGAGCCGCGCCACACGAACACCACCAGCGAGCCCACCACCGCCACCGAGAACACGCAGTCCAGCACATACAGCGCCGTCTCTCTGCTGCTCTGTAAATAATACCATTCATTACATATGTGTAGCGATTTACGCCTTACGAAATACCTGCCTTTTTTATATGCAGGATGCCGCCGCGACCGCACCGCATCGTGTGGCTTCTCACTCACTTAAGCAAGCATCGTTTGTGAATACGGGTGTTATACTAATTAGTAGATAAGGTCCCGTCACTCGCTAGTTCTAAGACAGAGTTGCATTTGCAGTTACGATGTTAGCGCCTCTTTCGAGTAAGGTCCTGTTACTGGCCAGTACAGACGCGCCAACTAGTGAGCGCCAAATAGCGCAAATTTTAATATGGTAGCCCTCATTGAACAGTTGCAAGCAGACCTCAACGTATGTGAGTAGGTACCTACACTATGACTACAATTCATTATTGTCTTCAGTCTCCACTGCTGGCTTACGATCCTCTCATAACTACCGGAGGCTTGGCAAATCCAGGATTTAGCCTGATGTTCCCTTAGTCTCTACGACACCTATGCCAGATTTGGACAGTTAATCCTGTTGAGGAAAGCTCCTTGGTTGGTCCCAAAAGTTATATTAATTTACATTCTGTGGCAGGCAGGCAAAGCTAGATATTTTCTATCCTATCAAATTGTTTCCCGCCAACTTTCCGGGATCCGAATCCGTAACTAAGTTTACAGTAAAGCGCAAATTTTACGTAGAAAAAACCATGATTTTTGTGATTTATTTATACATTCTTTTAACATCAACAGTAGATGCATTATATCAATACCAATAATAATAAAACATAGTAAAGAAAACAATAAACATGCATTATTAGCGCGACAGTTTGTAAACATCGTAGAGCAAACGTAGACGGGCGTAATCTTGCGCGCTACTACGTAACGCTACGGCGTAGCAGCACAGCGACAAGTCGCAATTATTAATTTTTGTGGTGCTGATGTAGTATTGATTGAAAAGTAAGCTGAAATAAAATCCAGCGTGGCAATGTCACTAGCCTCCCCCAAGGCAGAGATTTTTTTATTTAAAAGGCTTGTATTGTATTGTTTTTATTTTTTATTTTAATTAGGTTTATTTAGTTAAGTAGTTATTATAATATTTATTTAATTTACGTATGTTATATTATAAATAAAACTGTCAGCTGAAATAATAAATTAATAATGTAAACTATTCTTTACAGTGTTTTAACTACGAAGCTATGAGAAATAAGACTTCACAGAACTTAAGTACTTACCTAACATTGAAAAACAATATAACAACTTTTTAAAACAAGGTAAAAAGTAGTAAATGTGTGTTTTACAATTATTGGAAGTTTTTACCTTTTTACCTTAAGCTACTTAGCATACTTATGTAAGTATGCTGAGACATTGTAATTTATTGGATCACGTAATTTTTAAATTAAATGGGTACCCATTTGCAGTTCATATTAATTAATTATTGGATAGTACTTGTAATTTTGCGCGCTATAAGAGACTGGATCCCACAACACAGGGAATCCTAGTGTGGGAAGCAGTGCCTTACTTTGTGTAGATGTAAACTTTTTTGAAACAAATAAATTTTTATCATTATTTTTTTTATTATTTCATTTATCATGCTGTGTATACTTATTTTGGCTTACGGTCCAGTATGTAATTAACACTTTTTCTTTACGATGAAGCCTAGACTGTAAACTGTTTGTATACCTATTACAAATAAATAAATAATATTGGCATAGATTGAAAACATATGCCTAATATGTTGTTTTCTTTCAGTGCTCTCTCAAATTAGACATTTGTCGTCCGTCTCTCTAACCATATTTAGGTAGGTACTAAGTGAAAGTATTCGATGACGTAACTAAATACTCGTAGTACCTAACCTACCTACTTTCTGTTACTTAATACATTATCAGTACAAATGAAAACACCAAAACCGATGAACCGACGACCTCTAGCGTATGTAGTTAGTCGTATTTCCACCACACTACGCCAAATCGGTTAAGTTGTACATTAAAAAAACCATAAAACTTTTCACTGTTTATACCACGTGACACGAGCGTAAAATCTAAATCAGCTGTTGAAAGTGTGATCAAGCGACAAATTATTAAAACTTGATTCAAACAATGTTTAGTGTATTTTAGTAAAACTCCATGACATCATAATATTTCACGTCAATTACTTACTTGTCCATGTGCTAATTTCCACATAGTTTTCGTTCCCGTCATGTAACTACAGCGGTATTTTCCAGCTGAAAGCCAGTGGTTTCAATAGAACGATTACAACTAAATTATTACACTATTTTCACGTGTAAGTTAATTTACGATGTAACAACATTGAAAAATACCGCATAGGTATGTTACTTAATTATCTTGATTTATTATGTATTCGCAAGAAGTAAAAACAAAGATTGACGCGGATGTAAGAATTCGATTAGGTAATTTAATACTTTAGTTTGTTATTTTTTTTTAATAGAAGTCTCGTGGCTTTACTGTTGATTTGAGGATTTAATTTCGGAATTAGAGGTTGATTTTCACCGATAATATTCATGTCAAAATCTAAATTAGGTTTCGATGGTCATAAAAAATAATAACTTATTATTTTTATTATATATTTATACGTTTATTTTTTTTTATTTGATGATTTATAGGAATTTAGATATACAGGTTGTTCGTACTAACCCTTTTGTTATTGTTATACGTTATTTTTTACATTATACTTTATCGATCAATTTGATCAAGGCATGTAAGATGCCCATGAAGACGGCAAATGAAAATAATTTTATTCCTATTTATATAAGGTTGAAATTACCTATCTTCGGCTTTTGAAGCACACATAAATGACTAAATGATATGAGTTGTGAACTCCTTTAAGAGTGTCCTTGGGGCTCAAACACAAACAGCTCTATTGTCGACACTTTCGCTCTCGTTTTCTTCTATTTCATGTTTAGTACAGGTCCTACTCAGTTTTCTGTCTTTTTTCTTCTTCACGTAACTTAACTATACAACTAAACATTGACAAGGCAATCACAGAAACAGACGATTATTCAAAAACGTCAATACCAACCGTACGGAACATAGTAGGTACGTAGAAGAAGTCCTGCGGCGAATCCACAGCCACCGCGAAGGGTACAGCACAGATGTTCCGCAAAGTCCTCAGCGCCGCCAGCGACAGCGTGGCTGCCGCGGTTGTCGAGAGCAGCGTGCGCGCGTTGTCGCCTGTACATTCGTTCAGCAGGTTCCAAACGCCACGCCACGCGCCCACGCACGCCACGCCTGCCACGCACGTGCAAAGCCGTGACAGCACGTAGTATGTTAACCGCCCTCGATCCGGGCTCAGATGCTCCGTCAGCTGTGTCTGCAGCACGCACATTAGCAAGTCCACGCACAGCCCGAAAGCGGCACAAGCGGCCGCGCTCGCAACAGATTCCTCTGGCAGCACGTAAAGGTCCATGAGCGTCCAGGTGGACTTCCAGTAGGTGACGACGGCGGGCGCTACCACGACGCTGGCGAACAGCGCATCCGCGCATGCGAGCAGCGCGGAATACGCGCGCGAGCCGCTCGCGAGCGTGTCGGCGAGCCCGGCTGTGCTCCCGCGCATGGCTGTGGCAGTAGTGCCGCCGCTACGTTGCGCCGCCGCAGATTACGCGGGGTAATTGCATTATCGTTCCGCCGTGACGTCGCCGCGCGTTCCCGTGATTCTTAGATAACGCTATTGGATGCTAATTGATGGATGTGCGGACGCGCGCCGATAACGGGGTCTATAACCAGCTAATTGCACTTCAGTAATCAAGTTATGTTTATCAACACTCATATGGCAGTAAAACACACTTTTGAGTGATGCTCCGAAATAGTTAATAGAGCTGAGAGTTTAAGTCGACAATCTTCTAACATAATACAAAACTACAAACCACATCTCGTTCCAAACTCTTGAAGTAAATCACCACGAAATTAACAAAGCAAGTTTCAAAACGTCACCGTCATTTCAATCACGAAGGGAACGCGCAAAGTAAGCATTTCCTACGCACTATCCCGGCATCCTGTTCACGGAGCACGTCACTATTTCACACAGATCTCTTCGGCGGTGATGGTGCGATGCTGTTCGCTTGAGGAGCTGGAGACCAGCGCAGGAGGTGCGAGCTGGTCCGGGGTCGGCGCGCACTTGACCTGCGCTCCAGTTTGCGCACAACTACTCTGCTTGTCCAGGGCTGCCACTATGTAGGAAATATTGCCGCAATGTATAAAACTACGCGGAATTTAATATTCACGAAAAGTTTTCTCAAGTGTGGAAAATGTGCTGAAAGTCTATTCGAAATGAGATTCAGATTTATATTTTATTGCTCCTTGCAACAAATAAGACGCCCGCTCATATTAGTTTTTATGGGGTACCTATTTATTTCTGATTAAAAAAAGGTCATACTTACAATACCTAGCCGAAAAACAATAATCAATTTAGCTGCAATGTTGGTCAAATGCGAACATTAGGCCTTCCCAATTCATCATCCATCAGCCATCTTAGAGAANTAGTTACCTATTTATTTCTGATTAAAAAAAGGTCATACTTACAATACCTAGCCGAAAAACAATAATCAATTTAGCTGCAATGTTGGTCAAATGCGAACATTAGGCCTTCCCAATTCATCATCCATCAGCCATCTTAGAGAATGTACAATATTTCAGTCTCTGGTAAGGTAAATTATAGGACCTGATCCTGCAGTTCAGACTAAATGATCAGTGTCCTTACCATGAGTTTACGTTAGGAGTGCTCACTGGCGACAGTGTAAAAAAATTACATTAAATGTATATCAGATTTTACAGCGCCTAGCGCCTACTTTGGAGAACTAAAATCTTCATAGATTTTTGAGGCACTCGCTAGCGAACACACCTAACGTAAACTCATGGTAAGCAAACTGATGATTCTTGTGTTACAATACACGTGCAAGAGTCAGCCCTACGCGCGACAGTGGTTTGAAGTTTCACATCCTGCACGACGCTAAACGGTCTTCCAATCGTGGATCCTAATACACTACGGCCATGTAGCACACGACGTTTGTTGTGATTTTGTTAATGTTTATTTACTTTTACAGCCGTTAATTTAGATAAAAGATCTTATGTACCTACACGGCTGGGTTGCACTATCTTAATTTAACTTTGACAAACGTCAAAAATCTGTCAAAGTCCATACAAAAAACACCGGTTAACGTCATAGTTACGGTCAAAGTTAAGTGGTGCAACTCGGCCTTAGTGAGCAAATAAATAATATGAATATGAATAATTTCTGGTGGTATGTTGGTCACGGGGTTAAGCCCCGCTGGGGACAGTTATCAATGTGGTGGGCAACATAAAATATTTTCAATCATGATAATGTTGGGTTCCCCCAAAGTTTCATGCCCATTCTAAGATTAATTTACGGATCTAGTTTTCATATAAAATCCATGATTTCGGAGCGTCTTAAAATCTATTCAGATTCAGATTATACTTCATCAAACAAAATATAGGAGGATGCAATAAAATGCAGTTTGTCTTTTTATTTATTTCTCTATTTACCATAATTATAAATGGAGAGCAAGTCGTTCTTTTAACTAACGCGTACATAACAGTGTTATTTCATATTTGGAGTTGGCAATGGCCTTCGTCAAGCCAACTGCTGTCAATGGGTCCACAATACAGGCACATTCATCTCACTTGTACAAGTCTCATCAACAATCAGGAACTCTATTCAGGAAAACTGTCAATTTTCTACACACTGCGCCAATTGCCACTTGTATGCAAGATGTCGGATAGCCAACCATTTTGGTAGGATTCTTGAGCAGAAGAAAAGGGAAAAATACTTGATAATAAACATACCTAGGTACTATCTTGATTTATCGAATCTGGATTCTCTCAAAGATTAAAAAAAAAACTCATTCAGCGCTAAAAAGAGAGACAGACAGTAAGAACGATACATGTTTAGCTAAAATTATTAGCATGCAAAAGTTAAATTAGAAGCACCACAATATTAGCTACGATTCTAAAGAAGAACAAAACTACAGGAAGTCAAAGAACTCTTTTAAATCGTAAAGTGTCAGTGATAGCAACCATTTTACTCAAATGTTTCTTAAAATTACAAATACTTAATGTTCTAAATTCTTTGGGTATTTTATTATAGATTTTAATACACATGGTTAAACAGCTATTTTTGTACTGCACTGTTTTTGGGGTGACCTGAAGTACCAACCTGTTTACGTCTCTACTATTTCTTGGATAGTAATCACATGCCCGTTTAAATAAGTGCTTGTGCAAGTGTTAATTGAGATCTTGGGACTAAAACGATTTTCCCCAAGTTGTAACCTTGTTGCTTGTACTTTTATCTGTGGGTAACTAAATAAACTTTTAACTAAAACAATGAGCCTTTGTAGCTTTGAGATTCCTTTTTTTAAAAATACTTAAGAGTGAATAGAAAAAGTACTAACTTAACTTTTACAGCGCCGTGCATTGAGATAAACATTTGGGTTCCGCCTTGAGTCCTTTAATAAGACAACAAAGTAGCCTGGGGTCCCGATTCTGCATCATTTGCTATCTTTTTAGTAAATCTACTTCCATCTTTTTCACTGAATACAAAGGGTCAAGTCTGATTATATTGAAAATAGCTTTCGTGAAATTTTGTTTGTCACAGAAAAACTTTATCGCGCGCGTCCCTGTTTCAAAAACCGGGATAAAAACTATCCTATGTCCTTTATAAATAAGCTTTACAGCTTTGCCTGACCAGGAACATAAAAACCCTGGCATAGAGGCGCGTCAATTGCATTTGATAGTGCAACACTGAGTACAGTCGTACCTGTGTTAAATTAATAGGCTAACTTTATGTACAAGGATTCAGGATTACGGGCTAATTTGATATTTTCATAAATTAACGAAAAAATATTATTATAGGTAACCTGATTTAAATAAATTAAATGAAACCATCAATCGAGCTAGTAGAATTTATTTTATTATTCATCAATAATCAAATTCAGAATTTGAATATTCAACTGCAATGTCTGCTCATGAACGCTTCAAACTCGGTACTTCTTTCCCAATCCCATAAAATTCAACACTTAAAAAGTGACAAAAATTTTTAAAATAGGTAGTTTAAACAAACNTACCTATTTATTTCTGATTAAAAAAAGGTCATACTTACAATACCTAGCCGAAAAACAATAATCAATTTAGCTGCAATGTTGGTCAAATGCGAACATTAGGCCTTCCCAATTCATCATCCATCAGCCATCTTAGAGAATGTACAATATTTCAGTCTCTGGTAAGGTAAATTATAGGACCTGATCCTGCAGTTCAGACTAAATGATCAGTGTCCTTACCATGAGTTTACGTTAGGAGTGCTCACTAGCGACAGTGTAAAAAAATTACATTAAATGTTTATCAGATTTTACAGCGCCTAGCGCCTACTTTGAAGAACTAAAATCTTCATACATTTTTTGACGCACTCGCTAGCGACTCATGGTAAGTACACTGATGATTATTGCCTTACAATACACGTGCTAGAGTCAGCCCTACGCGCGACAGTGGTTTGAAGTTTCACATCCTGCACGACGCTAAACGGTCTTCCAATCGTGGATCCCAATACACTACGGCCATGTAGCACACGACGTTTGTTGTGATTTTTGTTAATGTTTATTTACTTTTATAGCCGTTAATTTAGATAAAAGACCTTAAGTACACTTAGGCTGGGTTGCACCATCTTACTTTAACTTTAACAAACGTCAAAAATCTGTCAAACTCCATACAAAAAACACCGGTTAACGTCATTGTTACAGTCAAAGTTAGGGGGTGCAACTCAGCCTTAGTGAGTAAGTGAATAATATGAATATGAATAATTTCTGGTGGTATCAATGTGGTGGGCAAGATATTTTCAATCTTGATAATGTGGGGTTCCCCCAAAGTTTCATGCCCATTCTAAGATTAATTTACGGAACTAGTTTTCATATAAAATCCATGATTTCAAAGCGTCTTAACATCAATCTATTCAGATTCAGATTATACTTCAGCAAACAAAATATAGGAGTTTGCAATAAAAAGCAGTTTGTCTTTTTATTTATTTCTCTATTTACCATCAGTAAAAATGGTAAAGCAAGTCGTTCTTTTAACTAACGCGTACATAACAGTGTTATTTCATATTTGGAGCCGGCCATGGCCTTCATCACGTCAACTGCTATCAATGGGTCCACAATACAGGCGCATTCATCTCACTTGTACAAGTCTCATCAACAATCAGGAACTCTATTCAGGAAAACTGTCAATTTTCTACACACTGTGCCAATTGCCATATGTACAGATGCAAGATGTCGGACAGCCAACCGTTTTGGTAAGATTCTTGAAATGCAGAAGACAAGGGAAAATTCCTACTAATCCTACTAGTCCTACGAGTACTAATATTATAAAGGCGAAAGTTTGTATGGATGCCTGGATGTTTGTTACTCTTTCACGCAAAAACTAGTTACTGAACGGAGTTTGATGAAACTTTACAGTATTATTGTTTATAACCCAGAAAAACATAATAGGCTATAATTTATGACGATCTGTGACAAACTAAATTTCACGCGGGTGAAGTCGCAGGCAATAGCTAGTACTTGATAATAAACATACCTAGGTACTATTTTGATTTATCAAATCTGGATTCTCTCAAAGATTAAAAAAAACACACTTTCTGCGCTAAAAAGAGAAAAATAATACTTCAGTTTTAAAATTACCTAATTGAGATCTTGGGACTAAAATGATTTTCCCCAAGTTGTAACTTGTTGCTTGTACTTTTATCTGTGGGTAACTAAACAAACTTTTAACTCAAACAATGAGCACTCTTCCTTTTTGTAAAAATCCTTAAGAGTGAATAGAAAAAGTAGTAACTTAACTTTTACAGCGCCGTAACAAGCAATTTGCATTGAGATAAACATTTTCGTTCCGCCTTGAGTCCTTTAATAAGACAACAAAGTAGCCTGGGGTCCCGATTCTG